GAGTTAGTTTGTTAGTTAGTTAGTTAGTTAGTTATCTTGTTTTAAATTCGTTTTTAATATTAAAAAACATTGCAATCCAAACAAAATAACAACTTTTACTTAATATTAAGTGTTAAGTTGGAGAGATTAGTGCAATTTCCTAAACCAGAACCTAAATCTGATGCACCATTTGCACTAATTTTATTCACACTTTTTAAATATTGAATAAAAAATATAGAGTTAATTAGCTAATTAGTAGGAAAAACAGATAAAAAATATGAATTAATATAAAAAAAAAGATGAAAATGAAAAAATGAGTTAAATTAACAAATAAATAAAAAAAATAAGCAGAATATTAAAAAAATAAATCTAATAAAAATAAAAATTTAATAAATAATTTAAAAGAGTAAGTAAACAAATAAATAGTTTTTACGCAAGATCAAGCTTCAAATTTGAGAGATTAGTGCAATTTCCTAAACCAGAACCTAAGCCTGATACACCTTAATTGCCAATTTTGTTAGACCTTTTTAATTATAGAAGAAAAAAAATATTATTAATTAGCTTTAAGAAGGAAAAAATGAATAAAAATATGAAATAATAAGAAATAAATTAATTTATTAATATTAAAGCAAAAATTGAAAACGAAAATATGAGTTAAATTAACAAATAAAGAAAAAGAAAAAAACAAGCAGAATAAATAAAAAAGTAAAATAAATCAAATCAAAAGCTAATAAGTCAATTAAAAAAATTAGTTAGTTAGTTAGTTAGTTAGTTAGTTAGTTAGTTAGTTAGTTATATCGTTTTAAATTAATTTTTATACTTAAAAATATCACTATCAAAAACAAATAAACAGTTTTTACTCAATTTTAAGTGTAAAATTTGAGAGATTAGTGCATTTTCCTAAACCAGAACCTAAGTTTGATGCCCCTTCACCGCCAATTTAATTTCTACTTTTTAAATATTAAAGAAAAAATATATAGTTAGTTAGTAAAAAAAATAAAAAAATAAAGATGAAATAATAAAAAATGAATGAATTTATAATTAAAATTAAAGTTGAAAATTAAAAAATTAGTTAAATTCAATCAAATAAAAAGCTCATAAAATAATTAAAAGAGTTAGTTAATTAGTTAGAGCTATTCTCAGATAATTATTTCTTGAGTAAGAAATATATATTTAGTAGAAATAATAATAAATATTATTTAATTAAATAAAAAAAATTAAAAGAAATAAAAAAAGGTTTTGAAGCAGGTTCCTAACCTGGTAGAAGAAATAATAACTAAAAAATGTTTTGTCAAAGTTTTAATTTGTATTTTATTAAGAAATTTAAATCTTTTAATCAAAGCATTTAATCTTGAATTAATTTTTTTTTACATATAAAATGAATTAAAAAATGATTAACTCGAAAAATTTTATGTTTGATTAAAAATTTAGTTAGATTTCTTCATTAAAAATTAAATATTTGATTAAAATTTTTTTATTTTTGTTTGATCAGGTTCGAAGCCTATTTTGATACCTTTTTTTATTATTCTGCTAAATATTTATTTCTTAATAAAGAAATAATTATCAGAGAATAGCAATAAATATATTGTTTTAAATTCATTTTTATACTCAAAAATATCACAATCCAAAACAAATAAACAGTTTGTTTTTACTCAATTTTAAGTTCCAAATTTGAGAGATTAGTGCACTTTCCTAAACCAAAACCTAAGCCTGATGCGCCTTTATCACCAATTTAACAATTCCTTTTTAAAAATTAAGAAAAAATATACAGAAATTAATTACTTAAAAGAAAAAAACGAAGAAATAAATAATATAAAATAAAAAGAAATTAATTAATAATAAAAGCAAAAGTTGACAATGAAAAAATGAGTTAAATTAGCAAATAAAGTAAGGAAAAAAAAACACAAACAGAATTAAAAAAATAAATCAAATAAAAATCTCGTAAATGAATTATAAAGAGCTTGTTATTTATATTATTTTAAATTCATTTTTATATTCAAAGATACCACAATCAAAAAAAAATAAATAAGTGTTTTTACTAAAGACTAAGTATCAATTTTGAGAGATTAGAGCAGTTTCCTAAACCAGAACCTAATCCTGATGCACCTATATCACCAATTTTTTTTTCACTTTTTAAATATTGAAGAAATTATAAAGAGTTAATTAGTATGTTAGAAGGAAAAAAAGAATTAAAAAATATAAAATAATAAGAAATTCATTAATAATATAAACAAAAGCTGATAATTAAAAAATGAGTTAAATTAATAAAGAAAGAAAGGAAAAAAAAAACACAAGAAGAATAATATAAAAAAATAAATTAAATAAAAAACTAATAAATAAGGTAAAATAGTTGAATATTATGTTTTAAATTTATTTTTATATCAAAAATATCACAATCCAAAACAAATAAACTATTTTTACCTTAGACAGAGTGTCAAATTTGATAGATTAGGGC